TACCCAGTCGCCACGACCTGGTCTCAGGGTGCTCCAAGTCCATCCCCACCATCAGGGGCCCTGGTGAACAAGCACTCTGGGACTTAGATTCCGTGCGCTGGGGACGCCTATTCAGTGGAGTGCTAGTGGTACCGCCGTCCCTTACAGATACACAGGTACATACACATATAGAGCACAACGTAGTCAGGCAGGCCGGGTCGATAACTATCGGGCAGGTAGGTACAGGAGGAGCAGGCGGAGAGTAGTCAGGTCACGAGCCGGGTACAGCAACTAACTGACAGGTAGGTACAGGGGGTCAGGCCGAGAATGGTCAGGGTCACAAGCCAGGGATCAAACAGGAGAAGTCAGCAGAGGTCAGGATCAGGCAGGGTCGGCAACAAGTCAGGCAGGAACAGGAACAGGAATGCAGGTTACAAGATACAGGGGCCCATGGAAAAACACACACCAAGGCCCAGACTGCAGGTCTGGCCATCCCTTAAATACACCACCTGCAATCAGCCCCAGGTGATGGCTAATTGCCGAAGTGAACCTCTGGTTGTTAAGAGCACCCGCTGGCCAGCCCTGGTACTGCAGCCCACAAGGCAGGTGAGTCCCACCACTATTGGCAAGTCCATTCCTGACAGGCTGCTTAAGGGGAACCGCCCCTCAGGCGCTGGAATCCTCCTGGGGAGAAAGAACACAGCTTTTCTGTGCCCAGACCATTTATCACCCTTCCAGTCCCTTTCTGGACACTCTTCTCCATAGATTGGCTGGAACATGATAAATATTCAGGATTGTTATTTGAATAGCCCATTCTAAGCTCTGGAAGCTTCTTCCAGAGGCAGGGGAAGCAATCAAACTCCCAGCTTGTTAAACCCTGGACGGGCCAGAACAAAGAGTTACTACTCCCTTGATTACAGAAGGATTCAAAAACTTGATTTACCTTGCAACTTATGCTAAGAGGGTGGTACATCAAAATATGAATTCCTACTGCCCATAGATATAACATAGGTCTGTTAAGCTTCAATTTTAGGATTGGGGAAAAACCTGAACAGACATGAATTTCACAAAAGTAACATCATTTCTATTCTGCTCTGATTCAGCAGGGGATCTGTTCATCCCTGCTGATCGGAATGGATGCCAACTCTGTGAAAGGACCCTATGATAGCTTTCCACTTTTCTGTTTTATAAATGAGATAACATTGTTAGCTATACTTTAAAGGAAACAAATACATTTACTGTTTGTGAGGGGTTTTTTTGTGTTATGCAGTCAGTAGTTTTGACATTTTGGCAATAATTCTTTTCTTGGGTTCCAGGACGGTACCAGTTTTTTACTTCCTTTGATTAAAAAATGTAAGACCTCCACCTTTAGCAAACTAAAACATCCATTAAAAAAAAAAATCAAATAATGAATTGTAAATAAAATATAGCAAGCAAATATTTTGCTTTTTTTAACTGAACCATTAGAATGATTTATGGGAAAATGTATGAGCAGAAAATTATTAAAATAAAAAATAACTGAATGCAAAGCGGTCAACTGTTTTAAGCTGCTATTTCAATAACATTCTGTTTCCTGATAGAGAAAGCACTTGTTCATTATGGTATATATTGTGCTATAAATCTCTTTTTAGCTATTGAGGTTAGTTATGTACTTTCAGCTTTTAAGGCTTACATTTAGTGGACTGCGTGTTCCCTCGGAACACTCCCCTGCTTTCCTAATATAGTTTTATGTGCTTAGTAATACGCATTTGCCCTTTTTTTTGTTTTACGATGTTCTCCAGCACTCAGAGCTGGAATGATTTGTTCGGGGTCACAGTCACAAAAACAGGGCGAGTAGCAAGTGCTGTTGGTTGTCAGATTTTAATGAATTTAAATCCAAAGCCCAGACATAAGCCTGCTACATTATTCTGGTTCAGTGGTGCTCTCTGACCTCTGCAATAAAACCTTTATATGTGATTCATGAACAATGCGCAAAACTGGCCGAAACCTTTCAGACATAACTCCCCAAAAGAGAAAGATTATGGATTTCATTTAAAGTTTAAAGATGTGTTACACTGCCGCGGCTTTTAGATCTGGTCCAGGGAGTCGACCTGAGAGTGATAAATGACTTTATTATACATAAATGCAAAAGAAACTGAACAGCTACAGGTGCAATCACAGATCCCTCTAGGTTATACTGAAATAAAAAAGTAGACTTTAAGTTAATTGCATCCTACATAAAAAATCACATTACGGTGGGATCAACACCGTTGCAGTAATGCACGTGTTAAAGCAACACATGAAAAGACCTGATACACATGTTGGCACACTGTGGTGCAATTTTTTCCTAATAGCTCCCCAATTCCATGTGGGCAGTGCATTGTGAGCAGAATGCCACACAGCCATGCTGATTTAAAAAATGACAGCTGCACCAGGGGAGAAGACCCCCTGCAAACTGTCATGGGAAGGAGAGGAAGGGGGTGTTCTGGGGGTCTATTTGGCACAGGGGCGGACTGACCATTTGGAAACTTGGGCACTGCCCGAGGGCCCGGGGTCAGTAGGGGGCCCCATGAGATGCCCCTGGTACATTTTTCATAGGCTTTTTTGAGTTTGGGGCAAGGACACAGGGGCCCCATGATCCCCTATTGCCCAGGGGCCCCATGAGTTGTCAGTCCGCCCCCTGATTTGGCACCATATTACATGTTACACCCTAAGTATGGGCGTAACATATAATCCATGTAAAAGATGGAGTTAGGCTTTAATGTAATGCACATTATAACGTGTTAACGAGTGTGCGCTAACAGTGTGTACCTATCCTAAAATGGTACGCAGGGTTAAAACATTTTTTGGGGTAGAGTAGGTAAGGATTAAAATCAGTTTTCAGCAAAATGGGCTGATTTTTAATTTATTTTGGTAAATTTAAATTTTGCTTGTACATAATTAGCATTAAAGAGACCCTGTCATCAACTTAAAAATTAAATGTAAAAGCACATAAAAATTAAAATTTTAAATGCTTACTTTCAGTATTTACCGATTCCATAAACAGTTTTTAAACTGACTTGCAATGTGCCTCTGAGCTTGCTAGCAAATTTGATTGCCTTAGGAATAGTCAATTCCCCAGCGCAGTCCCCTCCCTCGTTGCACGCCTTAGCTTTATTCTATTGTCAGTGTCCATTCATTATCTGTGCTGGCCAAGCCTCTGTGCCCTGCCCCTCACCTTCATATATCATTAATTTTATGAAACTGTTGCCGAAGAAGAAAAAAGGAAAAACGAGGTGACAATTTAATTCCTGGAATACCTGCAGTGTAGCATTATGGTGGTGAGTCACACAGCCATTTGCATTCAAGTGTGTTCTGACATGTTCTAACTTGCACTATCCTGGGCTGGCTCAGTCCTTGCGGAATAGTAGAATAAATAATGTGTGTGTGTTGTGCTGTTGGCGGAAAATGAGTGAGGGGGATCTGGAGAAGCGGATTTACATCAACTATTGAGTGAAAATTGGCAAACATGCAAGTGAAACTTTAGATCTGTTAAAACAGGTTTATGGTGAACATTCCATGACAAAATCATGTGTTTTTAAATAACCTAGGCAGTTTAAGGAAGAATAGGAAGATGTCCACGAAGACGCAAGAAGTGAGTAGCCAAAGTGCAAAGAATGGATGCAAATGTGGAGTGCAAACCAAATATGTTCAGAGAATAAGAGTGGAACTTTGGCCTGACAAGTAGGTTCTCCACCACGACAATGCTCCTGTACATGATGAGTAAAGTGTTTGCAAGTTCCTGGCCCCTGAAATCCATTCTGAAATTTGATTAACCATCTTATTCTTCTGACTTAGCACCCTGTGACTTTGCAGTTTCCAAAATTAAAAAAAATCCCTAAAAGGACACAGATTTGATGACATTCTGAACATCCAGCACACCGAGACAAAGATATTGCACAGCTTTCTGGAAAACAAATTCCAGAAATGTTTCTGACAGTGACACAGCCCTCTACAAAAATGTGTTGCTTCACAAGGGGACCAATTTAAAGGTGAAAACAGCTGCTAGTGTAAAGGTAAGCTAACTTTTTTTACAGTCCATTCCTGGAATTAATTTGTCACCTTGTACTACACATTGTCTCTTGAGTCAACTGGGGCGGCTGAGATCAGGGCTCAGTCTCAAGGCTTTTGGATGTCTACACAAGGAAGGTTTATACAGGTAAATAAAATGCATAAAATATATCAGACTTTCTCAACCAGAGTGCCCAGGCACCCTGGGGTGACTTGAGGTTTCTTCAGGGATGCCTTGGCAAAATGTCTAAAAGTTGCACAAAAATTGTATACAAACCAGAAGATAGAAGAAGCCTGACTGTTAGTTACACAAAGCCACAGGTTTTCATTGTGCACCACTATGACCTTCTATCCACCTGCGTCCTGACAACCAATGACATCGACAGTTGATAAGATGTCAGTTGTCTACACAGCATCCTTGTTTGACCCTCCCTGCCCCTTTCCATTAGTGCTGGGGTCACCCTAGCTCAGTGATGGAGTAAAACTGAGAGGAACACTGTAATACTAGTCAGGATCAGTGGGTAAAAGTGTATTTGATTTGGAAGAAATAAATCACCTCTAATGTTGGGTCTCCTAGATGTATGGATGTTGCTGCGTTATGTAAAGCTATTAGAATAGTTATTTACCGTATTTTTCGCTCCATAAGACGCACCTAGGTTTTAGAGGCAGAAAACAGGAAAAAAAAAATTCTGAACTAATGGACTGCAGACATAGTACAGGAGATGACCAGAGACTGCGGACAGCACAGGGATGACCAGAGACTGCGGACAGCACAGGGATGACCAGAGACTGCGGACAGTATAGGGGATGACTGCTGACCTCTGGGAGGGGGAGAGGGTATCTGAATTTGACAGGTACCCGCTCTTACTTCCGTGGAGTTGTTCTTTGATCTTACCTGTTCCTCTATCCAGCCGCGCGCGCTGTCTTCCCGGCTTCTGTAGTGTGGGCGCTCGGCATGACAGCCGGGTGCCCAGTGCACGTGAGCGAGAAGCACTTGCGCTTTGTGATTGGTCCGGTGGCTTCTGGGATCTGTCATGTGTCCCAGGTACTAACTTACCATTCACAAAAAGCACCGCTTCTTGCGCATGCGCACTTGGCACCCGGCTCTCAAGCCCAGCGCCCACACTACAGAAGCCGGGAAGACAGCGCGCCGCTGGATGAAGGAACAGGTAAGGTCAAAGAACAACTCCACGGAAGTAAGAGCAGGTACCTGTCAAATTCAGGTACCCGCTCCCCACCTCCCTAAAGGTCAGCAGTCATCTCCATAAGGTCCCGCTGCAGAGCTGAGCGGCTGGCCCGGTATTCTGACATGGCGGTGGTGGAAATACCAGACCAGCCGCTCCATATTCGCTCCATAAGACGCACTGACATTTCCCCCCCTTTTTTGGGGGGAAAAAAGTGCGTCTTATGGAGCGAAAAATACGGTACATTTTAGAATGGGGTGCCTTAGGACTGTACATAATTTTAAAGGGTGCCTTTGGACTGTCCATAATTTTAGAGGGTGCCTTGAAATTTTCCATAATTTTAAAGGGTACCTTGATGGAAAAAAGGTTGAGAAACACTGGAATATGTTACATGCACCTATCATTTTTTGGGAAAAGATTTTTGTTGAAGTGAATGGTCTGAAGACAGGGTCTCTTCAACTCAACTTCTCTTCAAACGAATGTGCTTCACTGAGAAGCCAGTCATAAACTCTGCGGCATGCAGCTTTGATCATTAGCACTGAGATTCTATTAGATTCCAGCTGAAAAGAAAACCACATAATCAAATACAAACAAAGTCATTTTGGAATGCTGATTTTGGTGGTGATGCTACAAGAGAATCAGGTCATTTAGCTGACTGTAGACAATTTCAGGAAATAAGCGTATAATAAATTGTCTGGCTGATTTCCTGACATGAGAGAACCGACATAGATGCCAAGCTTTTACACCCTCTGACTACTGTCTACGGGAGAGGTAATGTCTGGAGCCAAAATATGATTGGCAAAACAATTCTGACATATTGTAGAACAGATAGATTCATAACTGGTTTTACAGTAGAGCAGCTGCTTCTCAATTAACAGATTACAATGGTATGCAGTGGCTGTAGAGGGTCACACATGGCTGCTGAGTCTCCTGCATTGCCACTGGGTGAGCCTTTTGTTTGGAGGACAGAGGTCTATTAGCCTGGTTTGCTGCCTCAAATTGGCTGAGATGCATTCGGAAAGACATCTGCCTGTGAATTATCTATCTGCATGTCGGGAAGCCTGATGGAGAGTAAGCAAAGATCATTTATTTTTCATCCTAATTTACAAATGGGACATTTGGTAATGTTTAATAAGTACAAATTATTATGGAGACATCTTGCACACTTTCATGTAATGATGCCGTGATGACTAATGGGAAACTGTGTTTCTTTGGAGAATAGAACTGTATAATCTTTACAGATTAATATTTCTACAGTACTTAAAGAGGAACTTTACATTCTCCTTCTTCATTTTTTGTATCCCCATATGCCTGTTATCCAGGCTTATCCTTTATTCAGATAATCACCTGCCCAGCGGATTCAGTGTTGCCTTACTGTAGTCTGCTGATCAGGTACAGCTATTCAAATCCCAAGCCATCTTGGTGCATCTCAGTCTTTGGAAGCTGGCTGCCTCTTATGGGTTCAGGTAGAGGGCCTCAAGTGACCGCCCAGTGGCTGCTGTTAATTCCTACTTCTGCAGCCACTTGACATATGTGATATGTAATCAAAAGAGGCCCCCTTCATGTCAGAGGACCTCATCCTGTTAGAGGTCCCTCCCCCATCCCATCAAAGTCTACCCTATACATCAGAGGCTCCCTTATTACAAAAGAATCAGAGTCCCCCCATCACATCAGAGTCCCCTCATAACAGAGTCTCTCCATCACATAAAGTTCTCTCATCCATCTAAGATCCATAGTAGACTGGGTATTGTGCCAAAAACATAAATAGACGTTCTAGGTACCCCATGAACCATTACACCAATTTTATAAAAATACAAATTTTATTACAAAGATCAAATTAAAACCAACTTACAATGATTTAAAAACAATGAGATAACCCCTCACATTTTGGAGAGTGTTCTTCTTAGTGGATGTATATATACAAGTCTAGAGCCAAGTAAACTGGGGTATGATACAGCTATGCAAGGCAAGGAAACACCCTCTCCAAACATTGTGTGATCCATGACATGTTTTTGGGTAGAGACCGCTTCTTCATGAGGCACAAAGGGAATGTAAAGTTGAAACCATGACATGGAAACCAAGGCCCGGACACTAGAAGCTTGCAGCACCCTGGGGGAACTCAAATGGCACCCCAGGGTGCCAGAGCACCCTGGTTGAGAAATAGTGGGCTAGACAGAGCTAGATGTCCTTCATCCAGAAAATCAGGACGGCTCTATCTGACATGCCACAGCTTCTAATAAATACTGTGGGAAGCTGTGTAAAAAAAATTGAGTGCTTTAGTCAATGGGACATTAGGGAGCAGGGATGTGAACAATGTGTGAGGGTGACTTCTTAGCGGAGATGAGTAAGCACTTCTGGGGTAATGGTCAGCTTGGGTTAGTTAAGGGGCTAGGAAAATAGAATGATGAAGTTTATAGGATTAAGTAACTTGTTCTTAAAAAAAATGGATTTGGAGTTAGACCGTAAAAATATTATAGCCCCTTCAGTATGCAACTTATTGACCCAACCAAGAAACAGTTAAAATCTTCAAAGAAAGACAAACTCACCAGTTAGCCTATTCTGGTTTCTCTGTCGCCTTTCACCTCCGTCTTTGAGAAGTTATTTCATGATGAAGGGAGCACCAATTACTACAGGTTGTTATGGATACATGCAGAATAGGAAATAATTTCCTCCCATTTATCCAGGAACCATTTGTGTTGGTTACAAATACAGATTGAACTGACTATCATAGTAATTCTCCTCTGCATTGTGTTAAGATCTATAATACATTCATTTAAACTTCATAAATAAGGGTTACGCTATGTCATGCTCGGTAAAGGCAGATAAAATAAATCTAATAAAGTGCCATTGAAATATCACTTTGCTGTTTATATTACAGCCATAAAAGTACCCTTACCAGCTGATTTTTATGGAAATATAACAGATTATTATGGAAATCAGGGCAGATCAAGTAAGGCTTCTTTGACCTGAGGTTTGGAGTTTTTTAAGGCCCGATGTAAAATAATTGTTAACATGATTAGGGAGTTTACACAGACCATGGAGACAGTATTATTAAAAAATATATTAAAGAAATACATGATAACAGAAAAAGACATTTAAAATTCAAAATTGTGAAGGAACACTTTAATGACTTATTGCATAGAATTCAAAAAGAAATGAAAAAAAAGGGAAAATGTAAAATGTAAGGTAAGTTACTAAGAAAAGGCATACATATTCTAGGAAGTTATATAAAAACATTACTAGGAAAAAGACAAAGGCTGAGCATGCAGACCCACTAAAAAATGAATATAACTTTGTCATTAGTACACACAACCGTTTTATTAAAGCATGGGCATATGGGCAAAATGAAAATGACTGATATGATGCACTCTGTCACTAATGTTAATATAGCAGTTACCGTTTACCTAAGTCCCTCCATGACATACTTGTATAATCCTTTGATCCTGTCAGTAGATGTGTTATTTTTTTCCACTTAATTACTCTACAGTAATGGAGTGATAGTACAATATTTTCTACAGTGAAATTACACTGTGGTTTGGTCACCCTGTAGACAGGTACACTATATTGCCAAAAGTATTGTGACGCCTGCCTTTACATGCACATGAACTTTAATGGCATCCCAGTCTTAGTCCGGAGGGTTCAATATTAAGTTGGCCCAACCAGCTGTCTACAAGGTTTAGGAGTGTGTCTATAGGAATGTTTGACCATTCTTCCAGAAGCGCATTTGTGAGTTCAGGCACTGATGTTGGATGAGAAGGCCTGGTTAGCAGTCTCAGCTCTAATTCATCCGAAAGGTGTTCTATCGGGTTGCAGTCAAGACTCTGCAGGCCAGTCAAGTTCCCCCTTTCTTTGTGCACTGGTGCTCAGTCATGTTGGAACAGGAAGGGGCCATCCCCAAACTGTTCCCACAAAGTTGGGAGCAGGAAATTGTCCAAAATATCTTGGTATGCTGACGTCTTAAGAATTCCCTTCACTGGAACTAAGGGGCCAAATCCAACCTCTGAAAAACAACTCCACACCATAATGCCTCCTCCACCAAACTTTACACTTGGCGCAATGCAGTCAGGCAAGTACCAATCTCCTGGCAACCACCAAACCCAGACATGTCCATCAGATTGCCAGACAGAGAAGTGTGATTGGTCACTCCAGAGAACATGTCTCCACTGCTCTAGAGTCAGTGGCAGCATGCTTTACACCACTGCATCTGACACTTTGCATTGCACTTGGTGATGTAAGGCTTGGATGCAGCTGCTCAGCCATGGAAACCTATTGTATGAAGCTCTCTACACACTGTTGTTGTGCTAATCTGCAGGCCACAGGAAGTTTGGAGGTCTTTAGCTATTGACTCTGCAGACAATTGGCGACTTCTGCACCATTTTTTATGGCTGAGTTGCTGTTGTTCCCAGTTGCGTCCACTTTGTTATAATACCACTAACAGTTGACCGTGGAATATTTAGTAGCAAGGAAATTTTATGGATGGACTTATTATGGCAACCTATCATGGTACCACACTTGAATTCACTGAGCTCCAGAGAGCGACCCATTCTTTCACAAATGTTTGTAGAAGCAGTCTGTATGCCTAAGTGCTTGATTTTATACACCCCTGGTCAACGAGGTGATTGGAACACCTAAATCCAATGATTTGGAGGGGTGTCCTAATACTTTTGGCAATATAGTGTAGATCCTGTTGGATCAACAAACAAAAGTACAGTCCAACATTTAAACCAAGAAGATTGAAACTTCTTTATACCATATGAATTAAAGCTGATTGTTGTAAGCACTCCCAACATTGTTCTATAGTTTGTCCCAAATCCTGCAACTGTCACTTTTGCTGGACAGCTTGGTCTGCATGCAAATGTGGAGAAAAATAGAAATATAAATAAAAACATGAATAAAAAAAATGAATATACTGAATTTCATATACTGAATATTATGACTACAGATATTAACTTTTAAATATATGTATACAAAGGGGATTTGCTGGCGCCAATGTACAGTATGGTAAAGTAGTAGACCAGGAGCTGTAAGCTCAGCATAAGAGGAAAGCCTACATGAATTAACTGTTTAGGCTGTCTATAATGCAGAATTAAATTATATCTTACTTTAAAAGAAAATGGTCTTAACTACCTCCCCTCAACACTTTCTGTCTCGTTGGATTTTTCCCTCTTCCTCATTTCACTTTTCTTTGCTCCTACTATGCCAAAGCTGTTGTGGTTGGTAGTGGTGGTATTTGTCTGAGTGGTAACTTAGTAAGCAATTGTCTCCAAGGCAGTGTAAATGTGGCTGGGGGCCTTGATGTGGAAGTTGGTGGCAGATGCAGCTGGTTGGTAGACCACATGTGCCTTATGTATGGCTACTTAAAAAGGTTGGTTTGGCCATTTAAAGTGTTACTAAACCCACAACAGTAAAATCAGTCTGTATATGCAGTAAAGCATGCTTGTTATACTCACTGTGGAACCTAAGGGGTTAACCCTCTGCATTGTGAAAAAAGGCTGTTTGATCCTTTCTTCTCTGCCCCTCCTCTTTTTGAAATGATCACCTGATACAGACTGAATCCGTGGTCAGCTTGATGCATATTGCTATAGAGGTTTTTTTTTCCTGGGAGGGTGCATATGATCAGCACATGGCCAATCAGCACTGTCCAGGAAGAGAGTCGGGGTTTTTACATCCTCCAAGAAACTCCTCTTACAAGCTTTAACCAGTGCTCTGCTGAAGTCACAAGACTGCTATATACTGCTGATAAAAAAAGGTATTTAGCAGTTTATATTTACTAAAATAATTGCATTTGCATGTTCTGTGTACTGTGGGAGACAGATATAGTGAATGTAGGGTCCTGGGTTTAGTAACACTTTAAATCCAAATAAAGGTAGTCATGGTTTGATTTGTTAATTAGATGTTTCTAGGGTAATTTTGGTAAGGTCACTGCTGACATAACATTGGCAATACCTCAGTCATGCTATTGACACAAATACAGGTCATTGATCCCAGTGGGAAATTGATGAAACCCAAACATACACTCGAACTCCACTGAAGTCTATGGGAGGCAAGGTTTTATTTATCTGGTCTTTTTCAAGGCCAATTGAAAGAAAAGTACATGGGGAGCTGGACACTGCCATAGGGACAATGGTAAAAATTACTGTTTTGCGGGGAGTGGATAATGTCAGTAGGGTTGAAAGGGCAACATTAAAAACACAAATCCTTTAAACACATGCTTGGGGATACTCCTGTATGATGTACTCCTGCAAACATTAAAGAACAGTGTAAGGGTCTGGTAAAGATTTTGAGGGAGACTCCTCAACTTTTACAAAAAAATGTCTATTTAACGGAAAAAAAACAGTGCCCCCCCACCACCACCACCACCACCACCACCACCACCCAAAATCCATAACAAACCCTGATCAATGCAATGAAGGCCAAAAAAAGGAAGGCAGCAGGTGTTGCCTCCTCCTGGCATGGCACCTTGTCTCCATGTTAATGTGGACAGGGCCCTCATCCCCACATCCCTGGCCCAATAGATGTGGGAGTCTTTTTGAAAATCTGACAGCCCCTTTTGGAATAAGCAGACCCCGAAATATGTAGCCATGCCAAATATATAATATAGTGAGATAGTGACATATAATACGCAATCATATGCGCTAATAGGTGAACATATAAGTGTTGTCTTTAATGAAGACAATAATTGATAAAATGTGACATCATCCCATAGTGAAATATCAAAAAGTAACAAAATAAATATATATAAAAGTCCTTGAAATATTCAAGCAAGATGCGTCAATTTTCCCGGAAACTTGCATCAATGGTAGTATGTGCTCGTGACTTCAGTGATATAAAGAAAAAGGGTGTGCTTGCACTCACCAGACGTATGATAATATTACGCATGTAATATAAGGGCACTGGTAGTCATCTGGGACCCGGTAGGCAAAAGGCACTCCAATGGTACTTGTTACAACCTGGGAAAGACCTCCAGACCTCTCGGTGGACCCTCTTAGTGGATGGGAACTGCTTGTTGTTGTTAGTACATGACAATTGATGGACTCAGCAGAAACACCACCTTTAGTAGCTCAAAGTAAAGCCACCAGGACAAAGGGTGAGGGCAGCAGGTAGATGAACATGAACAGCACCAGCTCAAACAGGGGTCTGGCTGCAGACTGGAGCTCCACTTTTGACAGGCAGCATGTGACTTGGTGGAATGGAGGCAGAGGCAGACTGACCATTTGGGCACTGCTCGAGGGCCCGGGGTCAGTAAGGGGCCCCATGAGATGCCCCTGGTACCTTTTTCATAGGCTTTTTTGAGTTTGGGCAAGGACACAGGGGCCCCATGATCCCCTATTGCCCGGGGGCCCCATGAGTTGTCACTCCGCCCCTGAATGGAAGTCACATGTTGCCTGTCAAAAGTGGAGCTCCAGTCTGCAGCCAGACCCCTGTTTGAGCTGGTGCTGTTCATGCTCATCTACCTGCTGCCCTCACCCTTTGTCCTGGTGGCTTTACTTTGAGCTACTAAAGGTGGTGTTTCCGCTGAGTCCATCGATTGCCATGTACTAACAACAACAAGCAGTCCCCATCCACTAAGAGGGTCCACCAAGAGGTCTGGAGGTCTTTCCCAGGTTGTAACCAGTACCATTGGAGTGCCTTTTGCCTACCGGGTCCCAGATGACTACCAGTGCCCTTATATTACATGCGTAATATTATCATACATCTGGTGAGTGCAAGAACACCCTTTTTCTTCATATCACTGAAGTCACGAGCACATACTACCATTGAATAGAATGGGAATATTGGCGCATCTTGCTTGAATATTTTCAAGGACTATTATATATATTTATTTTGTTACTTTTGATATGTCACTATGAGATGATGTCACATTTTATCAATTATTGTCTTCATTAAAGACACCACTTATGTGTTCACCTATTAGCGCATACGATTGCGTATTATATGTCACTATCTCACTATATTATATATATAGAGCGCTGCATTTTTTATATTTATATTTAGGATTTCAGGGGTTAATCTTATGCAAGCTGCTTTTTGATACCACATCCTGAAGTGCTCGCTTTACCATTGTTTAAGCTTCAGTCATGATGAGTGGCGCCCGATGACATGACAACCTGCTTCCACAATGATCCTCTTCTACCACTACGCCTGTCATAAGCAACAGTCTCTGGGAATGCTGGGAGATGTTATTGTCCAACTATGGTCATTACCCAAGACCCACCTTGGCTTGCCTATAATTTGAAACATGTCAGCGGGAATTAGTGGCAGTAGTGATACTAATTAATGACTTCCAACTTCAAAACTTGCCATATATGGATATTTTGAATGCCTGTTTACCAAACAATGAAAAGGTTAAAGGATACGTTCACCTTTTGTAACATGTTACATGTTACACCGATATTCAGGGTGTAACATGTTATGAGCAGACCGGCCCGTACTCCCCCATTCCCCTTTGTGACAGACAGTGGAAGATCTTCTCCTCCCCGCTAGCTGTCACAATTGTTTTAAAAACGTGGCCATGTGGGGCTAAGCCTGCCTGGCCATGACACTCATTCACAGTATTCTGTGTATGGGAAACTACAAATTCCAACAACCTTTGCAGCTGTTGGCTTGTAGATTTTAGTGAATGAATGGTAGTTCATTGAGTGTTCCTGTCAGTATCTGCTTGCCTGTACTAGATGTACCTGCAAGCAGATACACTGAGGGGTCAGAGGGAGACCTGCATGGCACCAGCGATCTGCTGATCGCTGGTGAAATGCTCTAGAGGCTCCAAAAACAAAAAATAATAAATGCACTTTTTTTTACCTGCAAAAAATGTGCATTTATTATTTTTTGTTAAAAGGTGAACCCTTTTAAGACCCATATACTGGATAGGATGAATACATTTGGTAAAAATGGTAATCGTCCCAAAAATGCTATATAAATGTCATATGATACCTATACAACTTCTGGGAACCTACTTTAATATAATTAAAAAATTGATACTGAGGTTTATCTGGATGAACAAAAGACCGATAAGTTATGATGTATTATTTACAGATAAGGAGAGTGGGGGGTTAAATGTGCCTGATCTTAGGAGATACTATCACTCAGTATTACTGTCACATATTTTTGATTGGACACATAATGCACCAAGGAAAAGTTGGGTGAATATAGAAAACACGTTAAGATGGTGTGGTTGCCGCACCAGCGCCGTGAGTTGGTAGAGAGCACAAGCACTTATACATGAAATGTAATTAGGGTTTGGGAAATAATTCACAAACAAAAGGGGTGGGAGTTTAATTCTATGCTGATGCCGCTGGCGGCCTCAGATTTTTTTTCCACCAGGGAAAGAAAATATATCAGGTAAATGGATAAGAAAAGGGGATGTACAGTTAAAACATATATTGAAGGGGAAGAAATGTAATCCTTTCAGGAGCTGAAAAATAAGAAGGAGCTGTTTTCTAGGTTAGATGAGTGGCAATATTTTCAATTAAGACACTTTTTTGCAATGCGCCTTAGGACAGTGTGCATATATTGCAGAGATATACTAAATATGTATTTTTTTGCCTGGACATACACACTAAAAAAAACAAAATGTAAATGACAATAGAAACTCATATATTAAAGAGGGCAAATAGATATAGTAAGTAGATAAAAAAATATGCAGAATTGTCCAGGATGGTTGGTAGTGTACCTCAAAGTTCAGTTTTGGTACAGCTACTTTGAAACTTTTTTTAATAAATGGTAGAGTTTGGGAATGAGAGTATTGTTTCTGTGTTTACAGATGGCAAAGTGCATTGTCCCGTGAAACAATTATTGGAAGATGTCTCCATCCTACAAATTGACAAGGCACTGATTGTTTGGACAGCTACAGGCAATGTTAATGAAAATTTAGTTCAACACTTTTGACTCCCTAACATACAATTAAGAGAGTGCCAAGATTCTAAGTTATGCAGGAAGGTCATGCACCTAAAGCCAGCATACAATGCCAATGTGCAGCTTTTAAAAGCTACAGAATAGTGTGTTGTATTGAAACAGTATAAACAGAATGAAGAGAGAGAATGAGAATTTTGGAATTAGTACAGCCCCAGCTTTATTATCCAGTTCAGTTTTGGGCACCAGTTCACAAGAAAAGAAGTTGTAGAATTGGAAAGACTACAGAGAAGGATATCTAAATTAAAATGGAGCATTGAGGACCTCAGCAAAAAGAATGACTAATTGAACTGAATTTTATCTCTCTTTAATGAAATGATTATGATCACCTTATTATAAAATATAAAATAAGCTGTGCAAAATCATTGGAAAGGTGTTTTAGTCACGCGCCAACAGTTTCTGCAGTGCTTTAACCCAGATATTTGGGTTGGGAAGATTATTTTCATATGAAGAAAACTGACCCATGCTGTATAAGGATCTTTTGCCTTCTTCTGAATTATCTATAGTTATGGGGTTCTGAGGATGCAGGATGAGTGTTTTTTAAGGTCAAAGGTGCTTGGCGTGCTTTTGTCACTTTGAAGTGTATGTAAAGTTGAAAGACTTTTTTAGTGTTGAATAGTAGGGAATGGTTAAAATGTATTTCAAGCCAAGCCTTTTTTTTCTTAGTTTTGGATGGAGTGGAGACGTGTTAAAACCCCTGTTAGGGTTTTACTGCAATTTGAAGCTCCATTAGAAGAATTACCACTTCCTGTCCTGCTGATAATGTTTCCTCAGACAGGAACTTTTGAGAAAAAAATTCCATGCAGTTCCTTTGAGTTTTTTCATTGCTATGGTGAAAAATAATAGTTGATTTGCCCCTATTTACTATTAGAAAATTGAATGCGCATTTCAAAAAAGGAAAATTTTTAATGAAAATCTACTTGTGTACGGTCATCTTTAGGGCAGGACCAACACTACGCTAAACTACTTTTTTTTAAGGCTAGTCATTGCTATATATTTTTTCAGTGGTTGGTGTTTGCACTTGGCCTCATCCTATCCTCTAATCCAGCCTTTCTCAAACAGGGTTCCATAGAACGCTAAGGTTTCTCTAGAGGTTGCTAGGGGTTTCTTGAGCAATTTCTCAGTTGCCACTGTAACCAATGATGATTTTATCTGTCTGTATGAGGGGGATTCTTCCCACTGACCACAAATGTAATAAGCATTCTTTTCATTGATTACACTAAAGTATAGTACAGCTGTAGATGCAGAGATTTTCAGCAAGGGTTCCATGAGACCATAACAGTATTTCAAGGGTTCTTCCATATTAAAAAAATTTGAGAAAAGGCTGCTCTAGCCTGTGTGTGATCTACCCCATGCTTTTAGGGCTTGTTCACATGGGCGGCCCTTGGGACACTATTCTTCCCTTGACACCAACAACGATGGGGCACTATACCTCTGACACCAACAATGGGGCGATATTCCTCCCACTTACACCAATGTTGAGGCACTATTATTTCCGCTGACACAATAATGGGGCACTGTTCCCCCCACTCACATTAATGTTGAGGCACTATTATGTTTGCTGACACCAGTGATGGGGCACTATTCTTCTCATTGACACCAACCATGGGTCACTATTCCTCCTAATGACACCAACAATGGGGCCAAATTCCTCCCACTGACACCAACAATAGGGCAAAATTCCTCCCACTGACACCAACAATGGGCACTATTCTTCTCACTGACACAAGTGAGGGGGCAGTATTCCTCTCATTGACACCAACTATAGGGCACTGTTACCCCCCCATTGACACTAATCATGGGGCACTATAGCTCCCGCTGACAGCAACAATGGGTACTATTCCTCCCACCGACACAAGTGACGGAGCACTTATCCTCCCACTGACACCAATGGTGGGACACTATTCCTCCCACTGACACCAATGGTGGGCACTATTCCTCCCAATGACACCAACCATAGGGCACTATTCCTCCCGCTGACACCAACAATAGGACACTATAATTTTCTCTGACACCAACGATGGGCACTATTCCTCCCACTGACACAAGCAATGGGGCACTATTCCTCCCACTGACACCAATGATGGGACACTGTTCCTCTCACTGAGATCAATGATAAGGCACTATTCCTACCATTGACATAAATGATGAGGTACTATTCCTACCACTGACACCAGTTACTGGGAACTATTCCTCCTTCTACTGACAACAGTTTACAGTTTTTACTCTCACAGACCACCAAGCCACTGATGCCGGGACATATTCTACCCCCATTGGCCATAGCCTAGCCCCTGAAAAATCTGAAAAAACAGTAATCTGTCCCTTTGTTTAGAAAGTCAGGAGATCTGTGGTGTAGGACATTGCATAACAGCCGTCTGTTAGTCAATATGTGGCTGGTATTCCAGGTGTGGCGGATCCTGTGTACCCTTCTGAGCCCTGTTGTTCCACACGTTGGTTGCTCAATCA